AATCCCATGCACTGCTACAGACTAGGGACCGACTAGCTAAGCGGCAGTTCTGCAGAAAAGGACCTGGGGATTACAGTGGACAAGAAGCTAGATATGAGTCAGCAGCATGCCCTTGTTGCCAAGAAGGCCAACGGCATATTGGGATGTATTAGTAGAAGCATTGCCAGCAGATTGAGGGAAGTGATTATTCCCCTCTATTCGGCACTGGTGAGGCCACACCTGGAGTATTGCGTCCAGTTTTGGTCCCCCCCACTACAAAAGGGATGTGGACAAATTGGAGAGAGTCCAGCGGAGGGCATGAAAATGATTAGGGGGCTGGGGCATGTGACTTGCGGGAAAGGCTGAGGGAACTGGGATTATTTAGTCTGCAGAAGAGAAGAATGAGGGTGGATTTGATAGCAGCCTTCAACTACCTGAAAGGGGGTTCCAAAGAGGATGGATCTAGACTGTTCTCAGTGGTGGCAGATGACAGAACAAGGAGCAATGGTCTCAAGTTGCAGTGGGGGAGGTCTAGGTTGGATATTAGGAAACACTATTTCACTAGGAGGGTGGTGAAGCACTGGAATGGGTTTCCTAGGGAGGTGGTGGAATCTCAATCCTTAGAGGTTTTTAAGGCCCGGCTTGACAAAGCCCTGGCTGGGATGATTTAGTTGGGAATTGGTCCTGCTTTGAGCAGGGGGTGGGACTAGATGACCTGCTGAGGTCTCTTCCAACCCTGATATTCTATGATTCTCCCTCACAACCTCATTCCTGCACACCCCTCCCCCATAGTCCCTGCTCTCCACACCCCGGCACACCCCTCCCCCACAGGGGTGTGCCGGGCGGGGCTGTGAGGGGAGGGATGTGCCGGGCGAGGCTGTGGAGGGAGGGGTGTGTAGAAAGTAGGGGGGGTGCCAGGCGGGGCTGTGAGGGGAGAGGTGTGTAGGAAGGGGGGGAGGGGTGTGCCAGGTGGGGCTGTGGGGGGAGGGGTGTGCAGGAAGGAGGGAGGGGGGTCCCTACCCGCACACCCTGCCCCCAGCAGCTCAGAACTCAGGACTTTGCGGTGCAAAACACGGGTCTTGTGCTAGGGTCACAGGATCGCACCCGAGTGCAGCCGGGCCCTCAGCCCAGCACACACTCTCCCCATGTGTGCACACGCATGTACACACACACCACCCTGCAAACCTACATACACAAACCCACTCAGAGCCCTCCCTTGGGTGCGGCGAATCAGACCAACCGCTCTGGGCCCTGCGCTTTGGGGGGCCCCGGGCTTCAGTGTGCGTGTGTCGTGTGAGGGGTGCTAGGCTGGCCTGGGTGGAATGGGGCTAGGGGTGCCTGCGGGACCAGGCCAGGCTGGGGGTTGGGGTTATGGGTTCGGGTGGCCAGGCCGGCCCGGGGGAGGGGTAGCGTGGGGCCTGGCGCTGGCAGCGGGGGTCAGGCCTGCACTCACTGGCAGGAAGCACACACTATGTTTATTTTTCTTGTTCACCTGCCACCACACCAGCCACCAGCATCCTAGCACCGCCGGAACATGCCAGCACCAGGCTGACCCCATCCATTGACCTTCCGTCCTGTACCCTCTCTTTTCCAGGCCCCTCGGGCACAGGGGGCCCCTCGTCCATAGTACAGGTGCCACCCTGTGACTCTCCATAGTCCCTCGCCCCCCAGCACTGGTGTCCCCTCCCGACACTAGATTTCACCCGTATAAAAAATGTTAAGGGGGGGGCATACAGGTCGATTTGTCCCGGGGCCGCGCAGTCCCCTTGGGATGGCCCCAGACGCACTGTCACACCTATACCAGCACACACATGCACACCCCCTCTCCTCCCCAGAGGTGGATTACGATTTTTTTGGCAGCCTGGGCACAAAGAACATTTGGGCCCCCACACCCTGGGGGCCTGGGGTGCCAGAACCAGGGGGGCCAGGCCCTCCCACTTGTTTAACGTGGGCATAATAGCCTCAGGCAGGCGCTGAACTTTGCAGTGGGGGCACTGGTGATCAGCTCGCCTGGTGTGAAGCGCAGACCCTGCTAGCCGTGTCCCCGCGCCGGCTTCTTCCCCATGGGAGGGGTAAGGTGGGCCTTAGCCCCACCACCATCATGGGGCCCTGGGTCCTGCTCCTCCTTTTCCCCCACCCCAGGCCCCACACCCTGGCAAGGCCAGAAGCTGGAGCCAGGCCGTGGGAAGAGCCGCAGGGAGCCCGGGGCCGCTGTGGGGAGCCCCGCATCCGCCACCGACCCTGGGCAGTGCATCCAGGGGGCAGGGGCAGGGGCTGAGGGCTGCTCTCGAACACCCAGCCCCTACCCAGGGCAGGTGGAGGGTCCAGGGCTCCCTGTCTGGCTCTTACCACTGCCCAGCTCTGGCTTCTAGCCTGGCTAGAGGACGGGGCCCCAGTGGCTCCCCCACCTCTACCCAGCTTCCAGCACTCCTGTGGGGGGGCCTGGGGCACAGGCCCCAGGGGCCCATGTGATAATCTGCCACTGCACACTGTGACGGCGCAGGGAGCGGGGCGGATTTGACCTGGGAATGTGTTACATTGGGGATGGGAAGGAAGCTACCTGACCTGTAACCTGAGCCAGGATGGGGGTTGGGAGAAGTGACACCTTCTGCCCGGGACACTGAACAAATGAGAGGAGGAGCAGAGGGGAGGGGGGAGAAAGCTGCTGGAGGAGTTTTTAGTTTCAGTTTGGGCTGGGTGGTGGAACGCAGGGAACCCCAAACTGGGGTCTAAGCTCCCTAAACCCCCCAGAAGGACTTGTGGAAGCAGAGAACTCTGTTATTCTCCGACAGACTTGATTGAGGGGTTCTGGTTGTACCTACACGCCCTGCTTGAGACTGTGTTCCTGTCATCTAATAAACCTTCTGTGTTACTGGCTGGTTGAGAGTCACGGTGAACCGCAGGAAGCCGGGGGTGCAGGGCCCTGACTCCCCCCACACTCTGTGACACATACCCCATCACATGCACACACGCATAGATTCACACTGTCACACATGTGAATATGCACATAGACAGGGGCGGCTCTATGTTTTTTGCCGCCCTAAGCACGGCAGTCAGGTGGGCTTCAGCGGCATGCCTGCGGGCGGTCCGCAGTAACGCGGATTCGGCGGCGTTTCTGCAGGCGAACTGAGGGTCCCGCGCCTTCGGCGTACCCGCCGCCGAATTGCCGCCAAAACCGCGGGACCGGCAGACCTCCCGCAGGCATGCCTGACTGCCACCCTCACAGCGACCAGGAGGCCGCTCTCCGCGGCTTGCCGCCCCAGGCACGTGCTTGCTGCGCTGGTGCCTGGAGCCGCCCCTGCACATAGATTAGGGTTGGGCAAACTTTTTGGCCCGAGGCTACATCTGGGAATAGAAATTGTATGGTGGGCCATGAATGCTCACATAATTGGGGTTGGGGGTCAGAAATGAGTTCAGGGTGCAGGAGGGGGCTCCAGGCTGGGGAGTGAGGTGCAGGGTGAGGCTCCGGCTGGAGGTGCAGGCTCTGGGGTGGGCCTGGGGATGAGGGGTTTGGGGTACAGGAGGGTGCTCTGGGCTGGGATCGAGGGGTTTGGAGGGCAGGAGGGGGATGACGTCTGGGGTAGGGGGTTGGGGCATGGGGAGAGGCTCAGGGGTGCAGGCTCCAGGTGGCGCTTACCTCAAACGGCTCCTGGAAGCAGCGGCATGTCCCTTCTCTGGCTCCTACGCGAGGCGCAGCCAGGCAGCTCTGCACGCTGCCCCATCCGCAGGCACCACCCCTGCAGCTCCCCTTGGCTTCGGTTCCTGGCTAATGGGAGCTGCAGGGGCGGTGCTTGGGGTGGGAGCAGTGTGCAGAGTGGAGGTCCCTGACTGCCCCTACGACGTAGGAGACGGAGGGGGAGTCATGCCGCTGCTCCTGGGAGCCGTGTAGAGTGGCCCCCGACCCTGCTCCCCGGTTGGAGCAGGGGAAGCCCAGACCCTGCTCCCCAGTGGGAGCTAGAGGGCCGGATTAAAACAGCCCGCGGGCCGTAGTTTGCCCACCCCCGACATAGACACACAATCACATACACACCATCACACGTGCACATGTATGTACACACACGTAGATACACACCAAATGTGTGCACGCACACACATACAGTCATATACACACACCATCAGATGTGTGCACATGCCCATACACCCACAGGCACTCCCCAGCATGTGTGCCCACACATACAGACACATCATCGCATATGTGCACACACTGATACAAACACACACCATCACACAGGTGCACATGTGTACACCACACCGGTGCACACAATCACACACATGTGGAGACACTCACACCATCACGCATGTGCACATGCACCTAGACACACGCTGTCACATGCATGCTAGACACACGCTGTCACATGCATGCATAGACACACACGTTCATGCTGTTACACATGTTCATATGCACCAGGCTGAAATTCCAAGTTCAGGTGCCAGGCGCATGCAGACAAGCTCTGGAAATATTCAGATATAGCCCAGAAAATAGCCCCTGAGCTGCCGTGGAAATGGGGCATAAACCAGCCAGCTTGGACCAGCCCCACCTGCCCGAACTGAGGGGAAGGCCTGAAGGCACCGGGTCCTGGGAGCTGGGAAATTGTCCGCTCCCAAAGGGACAAGGGCTCCAGCTTGCGCCCCTCCTGGTGTTCCCTGAGGCTCGGCCCTTTGCCCCATGCAGTTACAGTGAGCGGGTCCGTGGGGCCGCACTTAGAGTGACCAGATGTCCCGATTTTATAGGGACAGTCCTGATTTTTGGGTCTTTTTCTTATATAGGCTCCTATTACCCCCACCCCATCCCTATTTCTCACACTTGCTCTCTGGTGAGCCCAGCGCCTTAGTGGACACTTGGACACGGTCCCCGTGGATTCCGGCCGGGGCTGGCTGAGGGCCCCGCCAGGGGGAGGCCGGACGCAGCCCCTCCCCACTCCGGGCCGGCCCCCCGGCCCCCGCGGGCGCGGCCGCTCCCAGCCCGGCACGTGGGCTGCAGCGTGACGCGGCCGGGGGCGCTGCGGTGCATGCGGAGCGCCATGGCTGCGGCGGGCGGCTGGGGCCGGAGCCGGGGCGCTGTGCTGCTGCTCCTCTTCTCGCTCTCCCGCCGCCCGCCCGCCGGCGCCGCCTGGCTGCTGGGGCTGCGGCCCGAGGACACGGCCCCGGGCAGGGTCTCGCTGGAGGCCGGCGCGCTGGGGGCGGTGGAGGGGGCCACCTTCCGGCTGCGCCTCTACTTCCAGCCGCCGCCCGAGGGGAACGGCAGCCGCGGGCCGCCCGGCGCGGAGAGCGAGCCCCGCCTGGTCTTCATCGAGGAGCCGCCGGCGGGCGCGGGCGCGGTCCCGGTCCCGGCGCCCGGGGAGCGCTGCCCGCCGCAGAGCGCCTGGGCCTCGGACGTGGAGGTGCTGGGCCCGCTGCAGCCGGGCGGCGCGGCCGGCTCCGCCCTGGTGCGGGTGCGAGTGCGGGAGCCGCGCAAGGGGGAGCCCGGGGCCGGGCCGCGCGGGCGGCTCTTCTCGCTCTGCGCCTGGGACGGGCGCGCCTGGCAGCACCACGGCGCGGCGGGCGGCTTCCTGCTGCGGGTGCGGCGGGCGGCGCGGGAGCCCTGGCTGCTCGGGCCGCTGCCGGAGGCGGGCTGGCTCCGGGCCCTGGGGGCGCTGCTCCTGCTGGGGCTGTCGGCGCTGTTCAGCGGCCTGCGCCTGGCGCTGCTGTCGCTGGACCCGCTGGAGCTCCGCGTGCTGCGCAACAGCGGCTCGGCCGCGGAGCAGGAGCAGGCGCGCCGCGTCCAGGCGGTGCGGGGCCACGGCGGCACCTACCTGCTCTGCACCCTGCTGCTAGGCCAGGCCGGGGCCAACGCGGCGCTGGCCGGCTGGCTGTGCGCATCCCTGCCCGGCCAGGGCCCGGCGCCGGCCGGCTGGGTGCAGGGCGTGCCCTGGCTGCCCGTGCTGCTCTGCACCGGCGCCGTCTTCCTGGGCGGCGAGGTGCTGCCCTACTCGGTGTGTTCCCGGCACGGGCTGGCCATGGCCTCGCACACGCTCTGCCTCACCCGCCTGCTGATGGCCGCCGCCTTCCCGCTCTGCTACCCGCTGAGCCGGCTGCTGGACTGGGCGCTGCGCCAGGAGCTCAGCACCTTCTCCACCCGCGAGCGCCTGCTGGAGACGCTGCGCGCCGCCGACCCGCACAGCGACCTGGTGCGGGCGGAGCTGGCCATGGTGCAGGGCGCGCTGGAGCTGCGCACCAAGGCGGTGGAGGACGTGCTCACCCCGCTGGCCGACTGCTTCCTGCTGCGCTCCGACGCCCTGCTGGACTTCGCCACCGTCTCCGAGATCCTGCGCTCCGGCTACACCCGCATCCCGGTCTACGAGGGCGACCGGCGGGACAACATCGTGGACCTGCTCTTCGTCAAGGACCTGGCCTTCGTGGACCCGGCCGACTGCACCCCGCTGCAGACCGTCACCCGCTTCTACCGCCGGCCGCTGCACTGGGTCTTCAGCGACAGCCGCCTGGACACGCTGCTGGAGGAGTTCAAGAAGGGTGAGGGCGCCGGACCCCCGGTTCTGTCCTCCGGGCACCCGCACCCCCAGGCACCCGCCCCGACTCCCCGGGCTCCGGCTGTGCGCTCCGGGCCATGCAGCCTCCCGCGGGGCTCGGGGTCCCCCTGTCCCTGCCTCCACCCGGCCGTGCGCCCGCGGCAGCCACCGCCTTCCCCTTGCGCCCCCCGGCCCTTGGCCGGCTGCCTCTGGCGCACCCCGCCCGCGCCTCCCCGACCGCCCCCTGCTCCCCCAGGCCCGGGCGTGCGGGGCACTCCCGGCAGGGGAGCGGGGCCCCTGCGGGTGTCGGAGCTGGGGTGCCCGGATAGGATGCCCTGGGCGGGCAGGGGGCTCCTGGGCTCTTTGCGCCCTGCATGAACCGGGCGTGTGCCCGCTGGCTCCGCGCAGCTCTCGGGGGTGTGCGGGACTCGTGCGCCCCATACGGGCCCGGGGCGGGGTCCGGCTGCCCGGGTGCTTTTGACCCCGAACCTCATTGCGAAGCGCTGAGGGGTTGGAGCGAGCTAGGGGCCGGGCTGAGCCTCCTCGGGGGTCGCAGCGCTGTCATTAACCGCCCCTGCGGCTCATGCCAGCAGCAATATATGCCCCCGTGGGGGGGGAGCGGCGGACTCGGGCGGCTGGTGCTTTCCGCGAGGGGCTGCTCTGCATTGGCCCCTCTGCACCCAGGCTGGGCGGAGTGAGGCCGGCAGCGAGCGGGCGTGGAGCTGGGCTGTGAGCGCAGTCCTAGCTGTGCCACTCCCTTGGGAAGGTCGCTGCTGGGCTGTGGAATGGGGACAGATCCTTACCCCTCAGTGCCGGGAGGGTTAGTTAACACTCACTCGGGGTGTTCAAAGGCTGGTGCATGGAATCAGTTTAAGAGAGGGGCTGGAGGTGAGGTGCCTGAGTCTCCAGGCTTGTTTAGGGGGTTTAAAAGTTACTTTTGTCCCTTCTTGCTGGTGGAAATGGACTAAAACGGTTATCAAATGAACATTGTAAACAAACTAGGGCTGTCAAGTGATTACAAAAATTAATTGTGTGATCATGCTTTTAAACAATAGAATATGATTTGTTTTAATATTTGTTTTCTACTTTTTCAAAGATATTGATTTCAGTTACAACACAGAATACAACGTGTACAGTGCTCACTATATTTTTTATTACAAATATTTGCACTGTAAAAAACAAAAGAAATAGTATTTTTCAAGTCACCTAGTACAAGTACTGTAGTGCAATCTGTCATGAACGTTGAACTTGCAAATGTAGAATTATATACAAAAAAACTGCATTCAACAATAAAACAATGTAAAACTTTAGAGCCTACAAGTCCACTCAGTCCTACTTCAGCCAATCGCTCAAACATGTGAATACCATGTAAAACTGGCTACAAAAGTGCCATGCGAACGCCTGGTCTCACTTTCAGGTGACACTGTAAATAAGAAGCAGGCAGCATTATTTCCCGTAAATGTAAACAAACTTGTTTGTCTGAGCAATTGGCTGAATGAGAAGTAGGACTGAGTGGACTTGTAGGCTCTAAAGTTTTACATTGTTTTGTTTTTGAATGCAGTTATGCAACAACAACAAATCTACATTTGTAAGTTACACTTTCACGATAAAGAGATTGCCCTGCAGTACTTGTATGAGGTAAATTGAAAAATACTATTTCTTTTATCATTTTTACAGTGCAAATATTTGTAATAATATAAAGTGAGCACTGTACACTTTGTATTCTGTGTTGTAACTGAAATCAATATCTTTGAAAATGTAGAAAAAAAACCATCCAAAAAATTTAATAATTTCAGTTGAAATTCTATTGTTTAACAGTGCGATTAATCGTGATTAACTCAAAAATTAATCACGTGAGTTAACTGCGATTGACAGCCCTAAAACAGTAGACACATCAGTCTGCTCTTTCAGTTACAGTAAGCTTGACTTTTACTGTTTTTTCAAGTAGGCACATAACTTTGAGGATAGGTTGTTGGGTTTTGAGATTATCTATCTATGTTGTGACAAAGTTCTGTTCTTGACTCCATGGGTCCTGCATTTCCTGACGAATTTTTACTAGCTTCAGAGGCTCACTGTGACCCTCCACATAACCCTTCTCTCTCTAGAGGCAAGGGTCACAGTCTACTGAGCCATTTTCATCATAAGCCAGCAAGGGAGGTGAGGCGAAACAACCCTCCCGCACACAGTCTCGGTCTCTCAGTATCAGTGATTAATCAGGGAGGGGAGGGGAGGGGGGGGAAAGGAAGGAAGAGCCCAGGCCCACCCTCTACTCCGGGCTCCAGCCCAGGGACCCTAAACTTAGCAGCTATGGAAGCTGACTTTTTGGCAATAGGGCATGTACAATTCCCTGGGCTACTTCCCCACAGCAGCCCCCACTCAATATCTTCTTCACAATTACCTCAGGGCCTCCTTCCTTGCACCTGATATGGATTCGTACTACTTCATTCCTCCAACAGCACAGTTCCCTCCTATAGCTCCTGACACCCACCCCGCACTGACTAACTGGGAGGCTTTTAACTAGTTCCAGCCAGTCCTTGATTGGCTTCAGGTGTCCCAATCAATCTAGCTATCTCCACTACCTTCTAGAACGATCTTAATTGGCCCCAGGTGTCTTGATTAACCTGGAGCAACTGCCATTTGGTTACCATGGTACCAGGGATTTGTTTAGCCTGGGGCTAACATACCTGTTCCTCACTACTTTACTGTAGCCATCTGGCCTTGCCCCATCACAATATATATTTGGTCAAAGTTGTCTTGTGAGCACCTTATAGAATAATGTTTGCAATGCCATCCGGTGGGATGTTGGCCTGTAACACCTGTCCCAACCCATCCCACCTCCTTCCTGGGCACCAGATCTAGATGAAAATATAACAGATGTTTGGGGTCAGTCCTAGGTCCGGTACTATTCAATATTTTCATTAATGATTGATAAGGGAGTGGGGAGTTTGCTTATAAAATTTTGAGGATAGCATTAGACTGGGAGCGGTCGCAGGCACTTTGCAGGATAGGATTATAATTCAAAACTACCTTGACAAATAGGAGAATTGATCTGAAATCAATAAGATGAAATTCAATAAAGACTAGAACAAAGTACTTAACTTAGGAAGAAAAAATCAAATGCACAACTACAAAATTGGAAATAACTGGCTAGATGGTACTACTACTGAAAAGGATTTGGGCGCCATAGTGGATCACAAATTGAATATAAGCCAACAATGTGATGAAATTGCAAAAAAAAAAACCCAACATATCATTCAGGGGTGTCTTTACAGGAGGGTTGTATATAAGATACAGGTTATTGTTCTACTCTGGTTGGCACTGGAGAGGCCTTAACTGGAGTACCGTGTCCAATTCTGGGTACCACACTTGAGGAAAGATATGGATAAAGTGGAGGGAGTCCAGAGAAGAGCAATACAATTGAAAAAAGGTTTAGAAATCCTGATCTATTAGGAAAGGTTAAAAAAAATTGGGTGTGTTTAGTCTTGAGAAAAGAAGACCGAGGCTTTTTCTACACTGGCACTTCATCGGCAAAACTTTTGTCGTTCAGGGGTGTTAAAAAAAAACAAAACAAAAACCACCCACTGAACAACAAAAGTTTACCGACGAAAAGCGCCGTTGTGAACAGCGCTTTGTTTGCAGGAGAGCTCTCTCCTGCTGACAAACAGCAGCTCATGCCTTTTAGCGGCAGGGCTGTAGCAGCACAGCTAGGGTGACCAGATGTCCCGATTTTATAGGGACAGTCCCATTTTTGGGGACTTTTTCTTATATAGGCTCCTATTACCCCCCACCCCTGTCCTGATTTTTCACATTTGCTGTCTGGTCACCCTAAGCACAGCCCTGCCCCTAAAGCCTCCTAGTATATCCATAGTCTGAGGGGGGGGGACCTGATAACAGTCTTTGAATCTGTTAAAAGCTGTTATAAAGAGGACAGGGATCAATTGTCCTCCATGTCCACTGAAGGTCAAGAAGTAAGGGCACAATCTGCAGCAAGAGAGATTTAGGTTAGGTATTAGGAAAATCTTTAGCTATAAACAAAGTAGAGAAATTTAGCCTTGACAAATCTACTATAAAGAAGGTGCACAACTGGATGGAAAACCATACTCAGGGAGTAGTTTTCAATGGTTTACAATCAAGCTGGAAGGGCATATTGAGTGGGGTCCCTCAGGGATCTTTCCTGGGTCTCGTTCTATTCAGTATCTTCATAAATGATTTGGATAATGGCAGAGAGAGTACACGTATAAAGTTTGTGGATCATACCAAGCTGGGAGGGGTTGCAAGTGCTTTTGGAGGACAGAATTAGAATTCAAAATGACCTTGACAAACTGGAGAAATGATCTGAAATAAATAGGATAAAATTCAATAAGGACAAATGCAAGGAAGGAATACTCAGTTGCACAAATACAAAATAGGAAATGACTGCCTAGGAAGTGTTAATGAGCCACTTCCCCTTGAATGGTCTGGTAGCATGTGTGAGCTACTGAGGCTAAACTATCTGTTTGATCTTGTGTTAAGCTGTGACACTGAGGGCACGTCTTCACTACCCACCAGATCGGCGGGTAGCAATCGATCTATTGGGGATCGACTTATCGCGTCTAGTGAAGACGCGATAAAATCGATCCCTGATCGCTCTGCCGTCGACTCCGGAAATCCACCGCGGCAAGAGGCGGCAGCGGAGTCGACGGCGGCGCGGCAGCGGTCGACTTGCCCCCGTCCTCACAGCCAGGTAAGTCGACCTAAAATACGCAACTTCAGCTACGGTATTCACGTAGCTGAAGTTGCGTATCTTAGGTCGACCCCCCGCTGTAGTGTAGACCTAGCCTCAGTTCCTTTCCCAGACTGAGGAAGAGCTCTGTCATAAGGGACTGGGGCGTAGGTGGCATGGCCTAGGGTCACAGCTGGGCTGAGGTCTGCCCACCAGGGTCAGGAGTGGGCGGAATTGCAAGGCCGGGTCCCGTTAACAAGAGTCAGGGTCAGAGTCAGGCCAGGGTCAGAGATCAGAGGTAG